AGGTCAAAGGTCACGCGTGTAGAACTGGTTGACTTATTTTTCTCGACTCTTCCTTCTCTGAAATCCAGATAAGATGAAGCAGTTTTTTTCGGGCAATTTTTCCCATCCTATACTGATAAATTTGGAATTTCCGGGACTACTTCCCAGGCCAGTCAACTCAGCAGTACCTTGTATGAAAATAGGAATTTTCACTACCCTAACATTATTGGCACGTATATGCGCCTGCAGAGTAATCCCATTGTTTAAGCAAAATTTGATAGCTGCGTGGATGCAAGCCCGGCCTTGGGTTGGTATCTGTTTCAAGTGTAAATATAAAAGAAAATGAAGTGAGAAGAAAAAATATGTGGAAATTTTTTCATTAAAAGTTGACATGATTTTACATTCACATGGCGATGACAAGGACCCTACGTACAGGTCAGAAACGAATAAATCAATAAAAACACATAAGATGCGAGAAAATGGTTGTAAAAAAAGGACGGCAAGAAATAATGCGACAGGTTATTAAAAATTTCAAAATTATTGTACAAATAGAGAGAAAAATATGCTGGTTTTGTGAATACCACATGATTTTGTGAATCTCACCCAGTAATGTCAAATGTGAAAAGAGCTTTTCCTCTTTTGTCCCGTTGAGCCCGACATCAAAAAGTTTTTTTTTTTAAATGCATACAATCATGTGAACAAAAAAAAACATTTTGTACGTTTATTCATTAAACGAATTGTTACCTGTCGAGAGGTTGTCTGTGTGTTCGTCTGTATCGATTTTTTATCTCGAGACCTACAAAAGTTATGAGGCTGAAATTTTGAGAAGTTAGTCTATATGCATGTGCAGGCTCCTGCCCCAAGATGGACGCTCTTGCCCATGTGGTTCCCAAGTATGGGTCCATGGAAGTATTTGGTGAATAAGTTGCTAACTCGGGAACCAGGAAAGCTAGAGTACTGAAATTTTAAGGAATTGTTTTCTGACATGGTGGTGGCCAGTCTCAATTCTTTTACCTGGAAGTATTTGCCGGAAAAAAAAGTGCCATTAGTGGCAAAAACCTGCGGGGAACTGTGCAAAAAATGCATCTTCGCACCGGCAATCGGTGCGCTGGCCATCTTTTTTTTAAGTGCACGATATATATGTTTCATGGGCGCATATGTTCTGTCTAATGAATAAACTTATCATGTGTTTCAAACACGACAATAAAAGTATCTGTCCCCGTAGGCAGTTTTAGGGAAACTGTTTTAGTGTAATGAAAAGTGGAGCCTATTTTTAGACTTAAGGTATTGATTTAAACCATCGAGTCAGAACCAGTTCAGACCAGATCAATCCAATTCAAATTCCAATCAATTACTAGGATTCATACCTA